AAAAAAAAAAAGAATTCCCACTTTGTTCTTCAGAGCTAGGATGTTATCTATGGTGGAGCTACAGATGAAAGGAGCTATACAACCTTCACTTTAAACAGCAGAAGCAATGGGCTAAGGCAAGCTTTTAAAGGGATACACTACCTATTTTGCTTCTGCACCTACTTTAATAGCTAATCTACTAAACTTACTTTAAAACTTTTCTCTATCAATATCTCCTGTTTCATGCCTTCTGTGGTGTATTACCCCCTACTCTTTCTCCCTCTCTTTCTCTCTTCCAACCTCTCTTTTAAAAAATAATACATTTAAGGCCAGGGATTTAGCTCAGTGGTTCCGCTGCCTGCCTCCCAAGTGCAAGGACCCAAGTTCAATCCCTGGTACCAAAAAATAAATAAAATAATAATACATTTAGTAGGTTTCTTGATTTTATCAGTTTTGTTAAGAACCATTTTTGATGTGATTTATCAATTCTTGTTTATCTTTGTTGCATCAGTTTCTGTTTTTTGTTTGTTTGTTTGTTTGGTTTGGTTATTGAAACAGGATCTCACTGTGTAGTTCAGGCTGACCTTCAACTCACTATGGAGCCAGGCTGGTCTCAAATTCATGGCAATCCTCCTGCCTCAGCCTCCCCAGTGCTGGGATAATAGGCATGCACCACCATGCCCAGCTCAGTTTCTGCTTTTGCTTTCATGAATTTTTTCCTTTCTAATTTCATTTGGTTCTTTTTTAGTATTTTGACTTGCTGAGTTGAATGTTGAAATTATTTATTTTAAATTTTGTTTTGTTTTCTTTAAATGCATATTAAAAAGATTTAAACACAATGCATGTACGATGCCAATGTAAATATGTCATACATAGTTAATACTCTTTTTGGTTCTTTCTTTTTGGCTCTCCACTCACTTCTCCATGCCTTCTTGCTCATCCCAATCAGGTATCCACAGTATAATATACATTCACACACACACACACCTTTTTGCACTCATTAACACCTAGTATAATTCTCTCCAAGTCAATATGCATAGTTTTCATTCCTTCTTTGTCATGTTTGTGTAAGACTCCATAGTATGACTGTACCATAATTTAGTCAATATAGTCATCTCATTCTCTTTTATGCCTCCAGATCCTATATTATTAAATACTGATGCTTTGATTTCTATAGAGCAGATTCCCAGGTGGTGTCTTACTGGAAGAAAGGGAATATTTCTTTCTTACCTTTAATTTCCAAAAAGGCCAGAACTCTTCACACATTTCTATCATTAATGTATGGGAGTGCCCTTCTCTCTGCATTTGTATCGACAGTAAGTTTGATCTTGTTTTTTTTTAACTTTTGCCAATTTTATAGGTGTACAATGATATTGCATCATTACTTTAATAACATGCTTTTTATTTCTAATGAGACTGAACATTTTAAAAAAATGCTGATTGGCTAGTGGATTTATTTTGGGGGATTCATCTGTATTTTTGGCCATTTTGGGGATATTACATTTTTAGTTAATTATGATAACCCTTTTATTATTATAAATATTAACTCTTCCTCATGTATATTGCAATTTTCTCCAAGAGCTAATGTTTTTTCTGTTGCTTTTGTTTATACCTCTTACAAAATTTTTAATTTCTATTGCCAAATATATCTTTTCTTTCATATCTTCAGAGTTGACAATGTTGGTTAAAAATATCTTCTATACCTCAAGGTTGTAAATGTATTCTCCCAGATTTTCTTGCAAGATTTTTAATACCTTTCTTTTTACATTTATGCCTTCAATTCATGTGCTAATTAGAGAGGGCTCTGTCTAGCTTTATTTCTACCTAGATCAATGGCACCATCTATCAAATAATACATCTTTGCCACTAATTTTAATCAACATATTCATCATATAGATTCTCATATATTAATGTATATTTATGCATTCATAATGCTATTTCATTGATCTACTATTATCTTGCTATACCAATACCATATCAAGGTAGTTACAGTGCCTTCTGATATCTGATAACTGAAAGCAATCATCACTGTTCTTTTTGTACCTTCCTTAGCCATTCTTAGGTATTTTATTCTTCCCCATATATAAAATGGTAAGATAGTTTACCAATTAAAAAAGAGTCAAGCCCTATTGTGATTCTAACTGAAATTTAAATTTATTCAATTAAAATTAAATTAAATTTATATCTTAATTTTATTAATACATTTAAGTAATTTTATTATCACAGTTATCCCTATGCATTTTATGTGTTGCTGTTATAAAATAGTTTCCCTTATTTCCATTTCTAAGTGCTTATTACAGAATAGTGAAAAGCTATCAGTTGTGTATATTTATCTTAAATCTAGTTCCCAGTATTCGTTCATTTTCCTGTTGCTGAGACACAATACTTGACACCCAGAACTTAAAGGAGGAGAAGTTTATTTATTCAGCTCTTGGTTTCAGGGAATTCAATCCATGGTTGGCTGACTCCAAGGCAGAAACATGATGGCAGAATGGCGTGGTGGAGCAAAGCTGGTAGTTCATGGCAGCAAGGAAGCAGAGCAGGGGAACAGTGCCAGAGAGGACAGGGCCAGGGGCCAGACCTAGATCCCTAAGGGCACACCTCCATGACCCACGCAAACACACCCAGAAATGTGCTCCACCAGTCCTCTGGACAGGACCCAAACCAATTAAGTTGAAACAATCAGGCTTAACTGTCATACTTCCTTATTCAATTCTCTTATTCTAATAATTTTACCCTAGAGTCTCTATGGGTATTGAATCATACCAGCAAAATGAGACATATTTTAATTCTTTTCTAGTGTTTGTAGCCAGTTATTTCATTTTCTTGTCTTATCAAATTTATTAGAAAACATGAGAATGTTAAATGATGACAAGGAAAGTGGCATTCCTATCTATCTAGGATTTTACTTGAAGTAATCTTAATGTTTTGCTATCTAGAATAACATTTACTATTTGTTTTTAATAAATAGTCTTGGTTACTTCTGTTCCCATTTGCTATAATATTTTTATTGTATAACTTTTGGGTCTTGGGCATGTAGCTCAGTGACAGAGCACTTGTTTTGTGTGTGTGAGGTCCTGCATTCAATCTCCAGCACCACAAATAAATAAGTAAATATAAAAATTAGAAATTAAAAAATATGACTTTTTGGTATCGGGAATTGAACTGGGGACATTCCGCTTGCAAGGCAGGCACCGGAACCACTGAGCTAAATCCCCTAAAAAATATGACTTTTTAGCATCTAGCATCATCTGAATTGTCTCTGTTAATATGTTGATGAACAAATAGTTTATGCTAATAGATTTCCTGATATTGAATACCCTTACATTCTTGGAGTATAATTTACTGTTCATATAATTTGATCATTGCTGGGTTCTATGTGCTAAGGTTTCTTTAAACACTATATACCTTCATATGTAGGATTGGATTTATAGCTTTCTTATTTTACTATTATAA